CTATTCCCTCATATCAAGGGTTCTTGTAAAAGAAAGGCAATCCCAAGTTTTAGTCTAAACCAGAGATCAAAAGACTACGAACATCCAAAAAATATTTTTACTTCATCTTCTATAATCCCAGTATTTTTATTCATCATTTATATAAAAAAATGCTTTTGTTCCACGACCACTTAGGAAAGTGACACCTATTGTACTATTTAGTTTAATTGCTCTATACCGTGTGGAAAAATCTACTTCCCATCTGTGTGTGAATATGAATATAATTTCTGCATAAGCTGTCATATATGTCAGACGCCTAATTTTTATTATTTGAATTTATTTTATGTCTGTACACTTTATTCTACAATTATTGAAAAGTCATGTCACAAAAAAATATAATCAACACTTAATAATAAATATTAAATCCTTATTGTGCAACTTAAGTAAAAAAAATATTAAAGTAGATTTCATTTGGACCAAAGGACATGCAGGGATACCAGGGAATGAAATTGTCGATTCGGCGGCGAAACAAGCTACTCTCCTTAGTGAAATAGAGGATGTATTTACGTACCATGATATAATCAATTTCTTTAAGAACCAAATGCGTACAGATTGGAAAAATTTATGGAATGCCTACGTATCAACTTCCAACAATCATTACGTGTCATTACTTTAAAATTTGTAGGCATTTAAAAAACGGAACGTCTTTTTTAAAAAAATCTCACAAAATCTTTTATATTTTGCTAAAGCCACCCAATATGACATGGACAATAAATCCAAAAATTTTAAATGTGGAATTTTTCTTGATTCTGAATTTGATTATATTGTCCGGATAGAATTTAAAACAAAAACAAAACTCTATGATAGAGTTAAAATATACACATGGAACTAGAGTGCTGACTGTAGAAGAAGGAATATGCAGTAGAGAAATAACTTTTTGGAAAAAGGACAATACCATTAAGGAGAACCACAATTGGTATTTTCAAATTCAGGGCTAGCTGCACATTATACAAATGGATTTTTGCATTTTGTGCATTTGGACTCTTCGTGGAATGAAAGTGGAGAACATTCCTCATAATGACAGCTTTTGGGAAGAAAAAATGTAAAATAAAATTCCAAATTTTTATATGCAATTACTAAACTAGTTGACAGCAGAGCTATTAGAGACATGGAAGTATGGGACAGAATACCAAATAAATAGTGAGAAATTTTATTTTATTTTTATTAACATGACGCAAGGAATCTTAAATTATTTGGAATATGTTTATTAATTTAAAAGTTACACTTTATTTATTTCTAAAACATGGTAGTATAAGATCCATTTAAAATATGATTAATGTCTTCTTATTATAATCTGCAGGGCCGACTAGAGGGGGGGTAGCCGGGACTAATTCCCGGGGCCCGGACTCAAATGGGGGCCCGGACTCAAATGAGGGCCCGGCAACTGGATTTTTTTTGTTTTGTATGAGAGATTCGACAGAATACAAGAGGGGAAGTTTTTGGTTGGGGAGGTTTTTTTTTTAGAAAAAGCAATTCAAGTAGAGAGGAGGAAAAGTTTTTGTTTGAAGAGCTTTTTTTGTCACAGGGCTCGATCTAGAGAATTGTCCTGGGGCCCGGCCTGGCTCTCGGCGGCCCTGATAATCTGCGTTACCAAAACACATGCTTAGATATCCTAATTCGTAGATTTGATCTGATTGACTTCAAATCTACGATGATTGCTAATCGACATCACAAAATTTCTAATTCACATTGTGGTATTCTTTCCTTCTATTGTAGTTTTTATTCGATAATTTAGGTGCTACAATTATGGAATATTTTTGAACTATAAATTATAGTTGATTTTGCTGTAAAAAGTTAAAATTTTCACAAGTATATTACTACAACATTATGATAAATTTTTATAGTAATAATTAAAAAGTCTAGACGAGTGAAGATATTTTAACTTGGTCTTTACTTCCTCCTAATATCAGTTTATACCCAATAGCCCTTCGATTCCAGGAAGTGTCTTAAATATCACTGTAAACTTCATCTTAGAGTAGGAAAATATTCTAGAGTAATATATTTATCATTTAAGTAAGAGGAAACAGGATTACAAACTCATAGATACTTTCCTGTAATCTTCAGATATTAATTAACTGCAATCAACATTTTTTAATGAAAATGATATCTCTTTACTTCCTACAAATTAAACTCTTACTTATATAGTATTAAATTGTATTCCAATCGTCTTAAACATCTAATAATTTACATCCTTTTATGTATTAAATAATCTAATTTATTCAGGAAACACTAATATTATGACTCTCCACAATTTTAGTAGGTACTAAATATACGCGATGGCGTCAATTTAATGCACTAAACCGCTCAAATAAATACGTAATCAACGAAAATTACTACTTTAACTAACTGAGAATAAATTACATACTGTACTCGTGTATCTAAATGAAAATGAGATTTTATTCAATAATTTAGAAATAGAAAGTTTATTTATGTTATAATCTAAGAAATCATTTCTCTTGCTTTCACGTTAAAGCGCATTTTCTCGCTTGAGATCCTGCATTATTGCACAATTAAATGAAATTGATTCATAATATTGCACAATAATTGCACACGCATACAATATGGTCGCTACGAAAGTGAAATTTCTTTAATTAAAACACTTAAAAATAGTTTTTAAAAATAGATAAGAAGCATTTTGCTATAAGAAAGTTATTATTTTTTTTTTAAAGAGCCTGAACCACTATGTAGAACAATAATGAAGATGAACTTATTGAGTCTAATCATATTAAATCAGTAATTTCTTTTTTCTACTCCTATATTTACTATAAGTTGTTAATTAAATGCTAATTTTTCATTATGAAACTGAAAAATTGATCAATAGAAATGTAGATTTTTAAATAACCAAGGCAGACCCAATATTTTCTGTAGAATGTTTGACAGTTTCTAAGAGATTCGTGTTTTATGACAGTTTCAATCTTTTGCGTTAGTCAAAAAGGTAGATAGGTATCTATCACCTATTTTTAAAAAGATGTCGTGCGACGAAGAGTTTTCATGCACACCACTTGAAATCATTGAAAAAGCAAAAAATGTATCATTATAGTTATTAATGTTATTATATTGGTTATTGTGTAGGAATAAAAATTAAGTCGAACAACTTATTTTTCTTTCATATTTTACTTCTTTTTGTTTGTATAAAAAATTAAAAAAGTAAAGCAATGTTGTTGAATTGAAATAGTTTTTTGGTCGTAGAAAAAATAGTGTATGCAACTCTCATGTAATGGCTATTAATGTATGATCGTTGCATAATATACTATTAAATGCCCTTAAATACACAATATGAAAATATCTAATGAAATATAGTACATTATATTACCAGTGCGGAAAGTGACAGTGTTCACGCCAGAAGTGATGTACAATATTTTTCCAGCGACCACAAAATAATTTTATTGAAAAATATAAAACTACTTTGTAACTTTTCACTTTGCACTTTGAATTAAAAAGTAAAATTTATAAAGAAATTCGAAAATTGAAAATGAAAAATTGATAATCTGCAAAGTTAACGATATTATTTTATGAAACACAAATATTTAGTACTTGTGAAGTGAAAAGTTACAAAGTAATTTTATGAAATATGCCCTAGGACATCTGGCTAAAGAGTTTCCATCAAAATGTGGCTGTTTTTAGATTAGTTTTTTATATGCCTTATTAAATAATGTTTAAAGTGTTCTGTCAAAATTAAAAATATTGTAATTCCATTTGCAAACAATTTCATAGGATGATAAAGATAAAATAACACGGGGTACAAAAAATATTAGAATATATTAAAATCGAGAGAAACTATTGTACACAAGAGATTATTATCATGTCCGATAGCCAAGCAGCCATGAAAGCGCTGAGCTCTTACATAATCAGTTCAAAAATGATATTTAGAAAAATTGAATGAGCTAGGCGTGGAAAATACAGCTACTTTCACTTGGTTCCTAGGACATAACGGGGTAAAGGGTAACAAGTTTGCAGATAGTCTCGCAAGGAAAGGGACTCAAACATTACGTGAAATAAAAAATGTTGCGCAAAAAAATCACTTAACGTCTTGATCGAGGGTTCAAACGGTACCTGAAACAGTTCCTAGATGTCCTGGTATAGAATTACTTCGATAAGCGAAGAATCATTTTAAATTCAACGTTGCCGGATCTATTTAACGTAATTTCAAAAATTTTGTTTCTCAAGTAACTCGACATGACGGTACTAATACATTTTTTGTTCTCAGATGTGGTAATTCTATATTCCAATCATTGTAAAGATGACTCTATTTTATGGGTGTGAGCTGTACAATATTAATTTATGTTACATATTTTTTAATAGCAGAGGACATAATTGTGTTATCTTGGGTTTAAATTAGCACTACTTTTAATTTTCAAGTAGTCACTCTTTTATTCTTATCTACTTTTACGATTGTTATTCTTTTATAACCATAAATTATTCGATATTATTAAAAAAATATTTTTCTTTAAAACTTATAACATTCCTAGCTTCCTAGTTTAATATTTTATTTCAATAACAATTGTAACTTATTGTCAGCATTTTTACAGCCTTTTATGTCTGTGTAACTTTAATATTTAAAACAATGTAGAATTTAACTAAATTTACTTTTTGTAGACAGAGAAAATATTTTTTTAAATTACCTCTAAATAATAAAAAAAAAATATATATTACATTTAAAGTATTTGAGAATCAATTTATTTAAAATGTTAGTTTTTTTACGTGTTTTACCTATATAAAACTATTTCTTTTAATATAAACGCAAAAAGTAATATAAATAAAAACACATTTGAAACAATTTATATACATAAACATTTGAAACTCCTTAGTATATTTTAATTCTTGTATTATTATTCAATTAATTTATTCCTGTAAAAATGAAAGTTAACGCCACCCATGCTCTACTCCACTCTCATTAAATCCAGTCTGTGCTGTTTTTGCTACTGGCCGCGAGGTGCCACCATTATGCTATAACCGAGACCCCATATTTATAATTAAGATAATTGTTTCACAATGGCGGACGATGAAGTCGCAAAACAAGACGAAAGTGAAAATAATTCGGAAAAAGAAGAATACAACTCAAAATTAGACTTTTTTAGTGACGAATTTGATCCGTTGTTGGCTCTTAATACACCAGGAACAAGTGCACCGATTCCAGATGCGAAACGATACGATAATTTGGCAGCATTTAAGAGTGCCATGGATAGAGAGCAAAATCCGGAAAAGTTTCAGAAAAGGAAGCAAATGGTAGCTGAAGCACTTACTCCTGTTGTACGACGATGGTTACCGCATCAAAGTAAGTAGTTTTTAAGCAAAATTAATTATTTGTTTATTTGTGTAAAATGTAACATAACCTTACAAAATCGCGTGGTGTTGGTGCGGCATTGCCAGTGTTGATAAATAATATTTGATTAACTGATAAGTATTGAATAAATAAATAAACAGCTGATGAATGGTACTTTCGGTCAATGAATCATTGACGTAGGTACGTACTGAACAAATATTTTTTAGGTATATTTTTTACAGCCTAATTTAAATGATAAATACGTTCCAAAATAGATATTTTAAATCTTTATTTAGGATACCTATGTACCTATTAATTTTTTTACTCTAAAAAAGAGTAAAATCTGCTTTTGAAAGAAGAATTAATTAAATAGGTGGGTAGGTACGTACTTTTTTATTCCTAGTTATTCTTCAGAGATAGATCTTTATTTAATCTAATGCTGCGTTTGAAAAGTACCGCGTTTTGCTTTTTTTACGCGATACCGCCCTTTTTGTTTTGTTTGCTCCATTGATATAGTTTGCTCGATGTCACGTGATCACACGAGACAGATATTAATATTACATTACGTGTGTGGAAAGTGACAGTTTTTACACTTTCACACAAGTGATGTACAATATATTGTAACGTAAAACCAGGAAATCTGGCTATAAAGCTTGAATCAAAATGTGACCGGTTTTTTATATGCCTTATTAAATAATTTTTAAATTGTTTTAACTATTGTAATTTGTCGAAATTAAAAACGTGAATTCAGTTTTAAACACTTTCATAGGATAATAACGGTAAAATAACATTAGGTATAAAAAAATATTAGAAAACAATGTTTTTCATTAGTTAATTTTTTTAAATACAACAAATAATAAGATGAACAACCGTGAACAGAGGCGTAGCCAGCCATTTTTCATGAGAGGAGTTTTTGAGAACTATGAGGGTGTTCCATCAAGAAAGTGAATAAAAACAAATCGTCAATAGCGATCAGCGCTAAAACTATAGCGGAAATGGTGATACGAGGGCCCTCCATGGGGGGGGAGGGTACTGACCCCCAAAACTCCTCCGTGGTGCACCATCATTCATTCACTAACGTGGCCTTTTAAATAATGAATCTATTGAATAATTAAGGCATTTTAAAGCTTTATTCCAGTCTGTGATGAACTAATTACATCTTGGACAGAGTCGGAACATCTTGGGGGTACTTTATAGGGGGTCATTTTTATATTTTATGAAATATATTTGTTATTTACGTTTAAAGAAGAAAATTCTTCAAATAACAGTTACTTCTGATATTAGTCTCTATAATTTTTGTTCTATACAAAATTTTCCTAAAATGGTCAGTTTTTAAGAAATTTGACAAAATGTAAAAAATCAAATTTGTTCAAATAAAAGTTGTTTCCTATATAATTCTCTATAATTTTTGTCCCATACATAATTTCACTAAAATGGACCGTATTCGAGATATTTGTGAAAAAGTGTAAATTTTGAATTTTGAAGAAAACTCAAAAACGGGGATAAAGAAAAAATCTTAAATTTCAAACTTATGCTTTATTCCGACATCAGGTGCACTAATTAGATTTTGGGCAGGGTCGGAATATCTAAGGGGTACTTTATAGGGGGTCACTTTTATATTTTACGAGATATATCTGTTATTTACGTTTAAAAAAGAAAATTCTTCAAATAAAAGATACTCCTTATATTATCCTCTATAATTTTTGTTCTATACAAAATTTTCCTAAAATGGTCCGTTTTTAAGAAATTTGACAAAATGTAAAAAATCAAATTTTTATGAAAATTGTTCAAATAAAAGTTGTTTCCTATATAATTCTCTATAATTTTTGTCCCATACATAATTTCACTAAAATGGACCGTATTCGAGATATTTGTGAAAAAGTGTAAATTTTGAATTTTGAAGAAAACTCAAAAACGGGGATAAAGAAAAAATCTTAAATTTCAAACTTATGCTTTATTCCGACATCAGGTGCACTAATTAGATTTTGGGCAGGGTCGGAATATCTAAGGGGTACTTTATAGGGGGTCACTTTTATATTTTACGAGATATATCTGTTATTTACGTTTAAAAAAGAAAATTCTTCAAATAAAAGATACTCCTTATATTATCCTCTATAATTTTTGTTCTATACAAAATTTTCCTAAAATGGTCCGTATTCGAGAAAGTTTTCAAAATATAAAAAATTATGATTTTTAGGAAAATTGTTAAACTAAAAGATGTCTGCGATATCGATCTCTATAATTTTTGTTTTCTACATGATTTCTCTAAAATGGACCGTAATGGAAAAATGTTTCGAGTTAGACGTATATGGAAAATGAATATATTAAGTTAACCTCTAAATAGGTTGTAAAAATAACCGAAAAAGTTCTGTAATAGCTAGATAGGAAAGTCATGTGTTGGACACATCAGATTTTTTATTATTAAAGATGATGATTACCTACTTTATTACTACTTTCAATTTTTTTCTGAACATAAATCAAATCAAAATAGTATAAAATAAATAGCGAAAAGATTAAATAGATGTTACATTAAGATAAATAAAATGTACCTATTTAAAATAAATAACAATAGTCGCATTTTTCAATTTTCATATTTTTCAAAAAAAGAAACATCACTTCCATCGGTGGAACTGAACTGGCATCGCCATATGGTCGAAACATGCAAAGTTGATAAAGTTGAACTGAGCTATCAAGTTTGTTACATGAATTTTCTAATCAAATATATTAACAAAAAAAAAATAATGTTTCTTTAAGGTAGTTCACTCGTAAAACGGCTTTTCTTAAGAATTCAATAAAATTGAAATATATGGTTAATGAAAGTGTCTTTTATGTAACTAAAAAAAAAAATTAAATTTTTTGACCGTCTGTGAAACGAGATATTAACAATCAAGATGTGCATAATTAACACTCTTGAAGCCTCTCATTGTACACAAGTAATGTATTTATTTCAAGATATCTCGAAAGCGGTTCTTACCATATTTTTTAAAAACTAATGTAATGTAAATCAAGAAGTTATAAAATTTTCTAAAGAAACGCTGAATTTTTTGACCGTCTTAGTAAAAATATATAGAATTTTAAAATAAAAATATTTTTAAAGCAATCGACGCGTAGTTGCATAAAATTATTACAACTTGGCAACATTGTATACGCTGCAATCAAAGCGTTGTACTAAAATAACACTCGATCAGCTAAGAGGTTGTTATAACCTCGCGACGTTTTCTTGAAAAATTAATTCGTCCACTGTCTTGGAGAACTGGAATCAGCGGTTCTGTTTGAATCAAAATAAACCCTTAAAATTAATATGAGGAAGTTCCAAATTTCTATAGCAAACTATTCCTATATTTATGAGGTTGCCGGATGGATTTTATTAAAATCATGACATATCCATGTATATAAGCTTACATGTGTTTTGTACAGTCTCTTACAAAAATAAAATTGATTAGCATTGAGAATCTCGAACTATTGGTATTCACCATTAAGCGATATTTTTATGTACGACTGTCGCGAGTGAACTACCTTAAGATTATTTTAATAATTTGTTAAAAATAAATAAAAATCTAGGTATAAAAATCTAGTTATACAAATCTAGGCATAAAAATCAATATTAATGATTTAATCATCAAATCCATTTTACTATTAATATGGACCTTATGTAGATAAAAATAGAAATATGGCGTTTGACATATTTGACAGACGCGTGGGAAGTAGATATTCACACACGGGTGGAAAGTAGATTCCTATCCACACGCGTGTGATATAGGGCACTTCCCATAAGACTAAAAAGTGCGATAGGTCTCACTTTCCTAAGTGATCTTAGGAAAACATATTTTTATCTTATTTCTCAATCAGTTCTCGCCTGTATAAAATTTCTTTGTTTGTAGGTACCTACTAGATACATAGTAGGTATCTACTTAACCCTAGAACGGTATCGTTTAATTTGTACCGCCTGTTGGTATGGACACGTAAAATTTACGCATTCGCAAATTTTTACATGTAAAATTACCTGTTTCATTAGTGTTTTTTTTTAGCGAAACATAAAATAGTGTTTTTAACATATTTTAATAACAAAGCAATATTTTAAAATGAACAAATTACAGTATCAGAATTTAAAAATAAAGAGAACATTTTTTCATTTGATTTTTTGGAAACACGTCCATATTTTTATTTGGTATTCCCCATATACTGTTTTGGTACATTTTACGCAGCACGTAGTTGCCATTCTTTCCTTTAATGTAGGACAAAAGTGGCAAAGGTCCCTTTTTTGATCCCCTCCCCTTCGATATTTGTACTGGGTAAAAAGGTTTCTTTAATATCTATTGCACTTACTGTACTTAGGTATCCTATTTGTTGACGTTGTGATTGCCATGGTTTAATAAGACTTTTAGTGAAGTATTCAAAACGTGTTAAAGTTTTACCACCTAATGCTTCAACATTGTGTGACTAAATTATGTATGAATTCATACAAGCCATGTTTATCATATTGTAAAAGATACATAGGGCCATTTTCAGCGACAGTCGTTAAGAAATAAGCGAAGCCTAAAATTTTAAGCTTGGCGACACGTACAACAAATAACTGCTTATTGGTATCAATGCGTATTTCTTACGTGTATACTTTTCAAAATCAAGCCACATCTTCTTTTGCTAAATAGTTGCAACTCTGACACCTAGAAATCTTCACAAGTGGATGTTTCCTGAGGCACTGCTGAAAGCTCAAGATCGTGAGTCAAAAGAATTAGTGGAGAGGGCACTTTCGCTACAAACCACACGTAAATTTTACGTATGATACCGCTCTAGGGTTAATGTGAAGCTTTGTATGACACATTTTCATTTGGTTCTTCAATTTTGTTACTTTTTGTTTGTAATATTTTTTCTTCAGGATAATTTAAGATAAGTAGGTATTGACTATTTTAGTGAAAAAAAACTTAATTTATTAGATAGAATAAATAACCTTTTTACAAGCATATAGTTTTAAATGTAATTAATTACTTTATTATAACAATTACATATTTATC